AGGTTCCAAAATACCACATGTAAAAAAGTATCACCACTTCGCTCGACTTGGCGAAACTTTCCAAGAAAAAAGGCTCCTTTTTCGCTCTGCTCTCCTTTCACAGAAAGTGTATTATTCATTCTCTATCATGAGCGTTTTGGAAAACACCTTAAGCCGCGCCCATTGAGAGATTAACTTTTGGAGAAGTTTGATTACCGTACCCAGCTTGATAAAGTATTGTTTATTTATGGTTCGGCGCTCATCTAAGTAATCAGGTTACTTACAGTATCATACATTGGGGGATCCTCGATGAAATGAGGTGACCCCGACCAAATTCTAGCGTGAATTGACACTTCAACATTTCTGCGCCTCTTTTGCTAGGATTTTCCCTTTACGGAATTCTGACAGCGGTTTTGCTTTGCTATAAGCTAAGGAACTTGAAGGGATAATAATTTCAAAATTTGATTGGGTAAAAGCAAAATGCAGCGGAGAAACATGTGGTGGAACTATGATTTTGCGTCATAGGCAAAGGGTATTTTCAAAAAATGATAAAAATTGTTGCTCTCTTAAACTGGATTTTGTGTTGATATTTAGAACTGTGTTTATATGTTCACAATTCCATTTCTAGAACCTTTTTCCAAAACATCTTCAGACGCAGATTCTTGGGAAGTTTGTATGTGGACGTTAGATTGTGCGTCGCAGTGTATGTGCATGTGCATGTGCATGTGCATGTGCATGTGCATGTGTACATATGTGTACCCTCGCCTTCAAATGACCAGAAATTGTGCAATTGCAGAAATTGACGTGGCATTAACGTGGCATCGATTCAAGAACATCTTTGAGCACACGTGATGTCACCTTTTCATCGAGAATTTAGCCACGTGTGCCAATGCCACGTCAATTTCTGCAATTGCACAATTTCTGGTTATTTGAAGGCGAGGGTATGTGTGTCGCGACTCTCGTCACGACCTTTTCAACGTGCAAGGTATGCGCCGATACTTTCCCGTGCTCCAGTCATGTTCTCACGCCTGGAGGACGAAATACTACGCCTTCTCACGGACGCAGACACTTTCCCATGGTTCGAACGCATGCAACATCCAGAAGTGCGGGAAGTGCTCTGCATCTCTGCCTTGGCCCGCGCTCGTCTGTCTGTCAGTCGTCGTTCCAGTCGTCTCGCCGAGCGGTTGTGTCCGTGGAGTCCTCAGCCATGGTTGGAGCTGCCGTCAACACCATCTTCGACAGCCAACGGATCGGTCGCATACCACTCCGCCGCTTATCCTTCCGATCGTGCCCGTAGGTTCCTCCCATCTCTCTCTCTCTTCTATATAACGTAGTCTCGCAATCTATTGTAATATTAGTATAAATCACCTTAATACTTAGTGTTCTGTTATGTAGCAATATGTACACATCTTTAGCAGCACGGTCGTAAGGTCGTCAGATAGGGGAGAGGGCCTCACCAGGCTCGCGGCAGGCAACAGTCGTCAGAGCATTACATTCCTTACGCGACGCATCCCCCTAGGACAGGGTGTTCGGGCCCTTCTAATACCCGTTCTGCCGTGTCCTCGGTGCTCCGCCACCGATGCGCTTCATCCACCACCACCTCGGGGCACCAGGTCGCGACAATGTGTGTGCGTCACGTAATTCAACAGTGTCCCAGCAAGTGAGGCGTCGGCTCTTACAAGTTGTTGGGGGTCAGACACGGGAACGACTTCGGTGAGGAAGACAGAAGGTGATAATAGCTGATAAAGACCGACAAAAGCGACACGTGTATGAGCATAAAGATCCTTGAAACTAGATTTTGGATTAAAAGAATGCATTTCATTTCGATATCATTCCATTTGGTAGTCATTGTTGTCAAAAAATATAATAATTCAACCGTTACACCTCCAAGGATTTTCCGAGAGAATGTGTGGAATGACCAGTTTGCGCCGCCCGCTATCGCGCGCATCACAGGGCAGGGAGGAACCAGGGAATAGCAGCATGACGTATCCATTAACCACCTCATTATTTAATGTGTTATACTTCCTTATACCCCTTCTCTCCGGCGCATGGCAGCACCATGTTCTCCCATCGCTTTTCTCTGTGCCCACTTTCACGCCGCTTTCAACCCCCTCTACAACCGCCCAAAGCGACTCCGGCTGCCCCTGGCAGCAACATGTGAGAGAGGCTCGTTCCGTGATCGGTATAGGCATTATGGGGTGTTACCCTCAGTTGAGGAAGATACGCCAAATGATAGAGGACTTAGTCTTAAGGACGGTCGTTGCTGTCAATCTCATTTCTCTCGACCATCTTATACCCTTTCTTTCGGGCATGACGGCCGCATAGTCTCCCGCCCGTGGTTTTCCACGTCACCTCCCTCCCTCGTTCCTCTCCTCCTTCCAGCGCTTCCCCTTCTTGCCCTGTCCCCCTACCCCCCCCCTACCACGCCGCTCCGGCATCGGCTGCACGGCAGCAGCATGTAGAATGAGACTGAGTGTGCTCGATCGGTGTTTATATAGCCGCTGTGGGTGTTATCATGATCATGACATCAACATCACGAAGTGTTGCCCTTCGTACTCCCTGGTTTTGTGAGCGGTGGTCCGGACGGACAGAACGACACACGCACACACACACACCGACAAACCGACACACCAAAGTTCTGGTTTATATAATGAAGTGATGATAATGGATAGTAATAAATGGTATTGGAAGGACTACGATAATAAGCACTGGGTATTTTCATTTCGACATCATTAGCACTAAATATTATATTCAACCGGTGAATCATGCCGACATTCTACGCATGGTGGTCATTTGTCACATACCGCTTTAGTTCCGATCTCGACCGCACGTATCTTCAGCGAAAATGAGAAGCGTATAGAGCGGTCAGTCAAGGCATTCTAGGAAGCATACTGTTGGATGCCTCATTGGTGAGACCTAACACCCCACTGCTGTCCACTTTCGCCGAAACCGTTACCTTGCCAGTGCGGTAGCGTGCGGAGCTAAACTGATAATGATTATCTCGTCTTTGTATATTAAAGCCTCGAGATGTTGGGGAACTTGATTAGGGAAATGTTTCGTCTTAGTCAGAACCACAGCTCAAAGAAGATATCGCTGAGATTTGAACTGCTCAGCATCGCGCTTACGAACCAGCCCCCACCCGTGGGTAAAATACGACCCTCTCGTTGGTATTACTTTTGCCAACATACGGTTGCTGGCTGGAACTAGTGTGAGGTCTTAAGGCAGAGTCAACCGGGTCGCGTTGTGACAAATCGAGAATCTTACGATTCCTCACTCTTACTGAGATTCCGATGCAACACCTCCAGATGCCCGCGGGTACGTCGCTGGCCGCTTTAGCGCGCCCAAGCCCCCTCCCAGAAGACCGGATAGAGACTGGCATGAATTTCCCAATTAGTGCAAAACTTCAAGTAGATTTGCAATCTACAAGATTTCTTGTTTCAGAAAATCACAAGGATGCTCTCGCCTTGAAAACTTTTTTCGGTATTAAGGCAAACATCGAAATTCGGGAAAAAAAACTCGCTCTTCTTCATTTTGGAGGTCAAACTTCTTTTCAGATGTGCCTCATGCAAAGTGGTAAAAAATTTAAATTTTCAAATTATCTACCGGTGAGATCACCTAAAACAAAGACACCAGCACCACTCAATTCCCCAAAGCAAACCTAGGCTAAGGTGCCCAATCGTAGGCTCGAGCATGACCAATGTGTAACCATAAGCCTGAAGCTGTGCATAAGCTTAGGCTTCAGTGTTAGCGCGCCCTGGTGACCCGACCTAGGAGGAGGACTGATCGTCACCCCACTTGACCGGGAGGACGATATATCCTTTGCGCATAAGAGACCCGTTGACATTATACGTCCCACTCCTTACTGATGTTCACACAAAGGACGATTGACCCATCAGAGGAGTCTCTCTATTTTACATTCTTTTTCGGCCGTTACGCTTCTCTTCATCGCAAGCACTTTTCAAGCATGAAGGTTCTTCGATCTAAAAGCCCAAAAGTCTGTAAATCTTGGCTCCTTGTGACTTCCTTCGGTGGTTACGTTTACTTGGAGTCCTAAATTACAGGTAATTATGCATGTCAAGTATCCCCTTCGACCCCTTACATTCCAAGACAAATCGGAATGGAAAGTGAGTGCGGTGGGTAGGCGTAAGTTTACGTGGTTTGCCCGTAGTACACATTTGCACGGGCTGCTTTTTTGTATTTGCAGAGGCTGGACTTGGTAGTCGCGAAAGATTATTCCTTCAAAGTGCCGAGCATATGGACAAGCTTCAGGTTAGTTCTTATCAATTAACTTCAGCTTACAAATTATTTCGATTGCGTAAGGAAGGGCTCATGTAATGCGGGCGCTGCGAAATGGTGTTTGAAACTTCTCCAACCCCAGCAAGATTCCTGGACCAGTTGAGAAAGATTCATTTGAAAAAATTTGGCTCTCCATGGAGTAATGTAGCACCGACATCTAATCATTTGCGTTCCCGAGCTCTTGCTCTTTGCAGTTCTGTAGTGCTCCTGTTTTGCGACTATACAGGTATCTAGTCCTCTAGTTTTTTTCCCCCAATTCAGACTATAATTATGGGGTAATTTTTGCGGTTTCCCATTTCGGCGATTCTTCTGATCTATATGCACCTCTGCTTTGGAACGGATTTAGTTCTCCCAAACGCAGATTATGAACAGGACCGAATGAGTTAATGGTTTTGAACCTGTCCTGCGTCACTTCTTGTATATTGTTATTGTATTCATGAAGAGAACACCACTAGTGCGAGACTAATGACCTACGACCTTTTTGGGAGTCGATGTTTCCTGTATTTGCACTTTTTTATTCAGCTGTTTTGTTGGTGCAGGCCCTGATAGACTACCTGGACAAGTCTAGATTCACAAAGTTCTGTACCTTCGTGGACGGAGTCCTTCTTGTATTTAGAAATGATATAAGAGTATGGGAAGTCCTCACCATTGATCGCATCTGAAAAAAAGCTCAATGTTTACGAGTGGCAACTAATCGGATCAAAGCAACTGTTTGAGTGGAAATTTGTCAAGGTTGCGAAAGTGTTTAGATTGGCTGTGATTTCCAGCTTTTTGGGTCTCGTCCAGTACGGGAGGTACTTGGCGCGACAGTTCATGTCGCATAAAGTAATCCAGGTCTTGGCAAGGAAAAGCTCCGAGGTGGCTGTAAAAGCGGAAACGCAGTGGTTTGCACACACAGGGGATCTCATCTTGTCAAAATTAGAATTCCTGCAGGCGGTGGCACCGCATGCCCCCCCCCCCTTCACTGGCTGAGATCCGTTTCTTTTTAGCAGCCCATTTCTATTCTTCAGTCTGCCTAAAACCAATCCAAACTACCAACCAAATCAAAATAAAATCAGTCCTTGGTAGCGTATTCTCCTTTTTTCAGGGCGGCGACTGGAATAGTTTCTTCCACCAGTTTGAAGCAGTTGCTTCCCAGTCCACCGCCAGTGTTTCACGTCCTTCAATCGTTGATGACAATGTTCCGTTACCAATTATTCGTAGGTTTTAAATCACACCTGAGATTTCGAATTTTGAAATTCTGACATGAAATAGAATGATATAACACTTCTAGGCGGTCATCATTTTGACATCGTTTATCACGATGCGATGGACGAGCACGTCAAATGTCAGGTAATATTGTTCACGCGAGCTCTTTTCTTCATGGTTTTCAATTACTTTTTCGAGCTGTTGCTCATTTTCACTATTTTCTTGAGCAGTGGTTGTTGGAGTGGATCTTCGGTTCTACCCTCAATACTACTACTACAACTCTAAATAGACAAGAAATACTTCGTGGAAATCCGTTCAAAGGGATTACTCATAACCCCTATTCATCAGTAATTGCAATCTTTTATTGGCCATAGCGTTACTGCTTTTGCAACCAAATTCGTTCAAATCTAGTTAAAGGGGGTTCACTGCCGTGATCCCTCAAATTACTGTCATTTTTGGTGTCAAACCGTTCGTTTCTCACGGCAAGTCAGGCGAAACTCGGGTTCGGGGGGAGGGGGGAGCAAGCGATGACGCGGCGCTGTTCTCGTCTGCTCCACCAAGACTTTGTCACCGATGAGTATTTTAAAACTGCCTCATGATGGCGAAAGAGTAACTGTCTTAGTGGACGAAGCCTTGGAGGAGCAGATCAACAGAGCGCCGTGCCCGCGTGTCCCCCCCCCCCCGAACCCGAGTTTCGCCGGAAGTCACACACTGGGTCGCTTTCAAAATAGATTCGAACCAGTTACTGAAACGTGGACATATGGATCGAAGGTATTCACCGAGATGCCCGCTTCTTTGAAAAAGTTTCCCGCGCGCGCTCGTTTAAACAAATGTCGACTGGGGCTGCTATGCTGTTGTTAGGATCACTACGGCAATTTTGATGAAAGGGGCTTGGTGCACTTCAGCATAGTACGCAATGAAGGATAAGCTCCTCCAAAACGGTTATTTTTTGGAAGTTACTGTTCGTGTTTACTGCTAGGTGATGTTCTTCTTCACTGTAAGCACACGGAAGGTGAGATTGACTGAACCGGCAACCCTTAACTAGGAATTTGCACTGCGATGTTCACGAGAATGAAAACAGGAGATATTGGAGCCGACGAGCGTTCATTCATTTTAGTCCTTTCATTTCTTTCATTGCATACGGGTGCCTTGCATAAGAATTTGCCACAAATTCACGTTCTCGTCGCAATGGCAAAGTTTCGATGTTTTATAATCGAAGTTTTAACGTCATAAACACTTTTATCTTATTTATTTTTATTTATTTATTTATTTATTTGAACTACACTCAAAGGTGCGCACAATAAAAACACGGAACACGTATGAAAGGCAGTGAAGTTTAATCAGCTACACTTGGGACCACATTTACACTAAGAAAGCCGGATAAATATATTGGATGTATTGGATTTCCTAGATGAGGTGGCGAAGAATCAGTATAGTAGGATCCACGTCATAATTAGGGCAGCAGGATACATATACATATATTTTTGTTCGCGAGGGATCAATGAGAAACTTCACTATCAAAACATGAATCATAACAGAGTCAACTACCAAGTAAGATAACCAAGCCTGGAACCGCAGCATGTAGGGCGGATGCAGGTTGCATCTCATTAACCTAAACACAGACCCTACCGCTGGCCCAGTGGTGCTTACCTGGTAGTTGACTGTGTTTATATGTATACACATATGTTTTGTTTCTGTGCCGTGTGTTGTTAAGTCAAAAAAGCTTGTGAAGGAACATATAATACCGAGACTCGAGAATAACTTGCCGCTGGGACGAAAAAGGGACTAGATAGGTGCACCAAATCGCACCACCTCATAGGATTGTCACGACCGTACTTTTCAATAGTTATGTAGAAATAAATTGGTAGATTGATGAAGCATCTTATGGCTGGCTTGACGAATTAGATGAAGGTCCTTGGACTTATACGTTGCATTGAAAAGCTTCTGTGTATTTTCAGACGCAATAAGTCTCGGGGGAAGGGGTGCCGTCTGAAGTACGACTACGGAGAGGGATGAAGAGAATGAGAATTGCTTAATAATTTCGGATCCTTCTTCTCCTCTAAGGCTTCGTCCTAAATTGAGCGTTTCCGTGTCTCTGATGCATGTTGCGGACTGCTTTCCCCACCTCAGAGCCACGTTGTGCCGGGTATTACCTTTGAAAATAAGTTCTAAACCTTTTATATTGCCAAACTGGTGATGTTGCTCTGCCTTCGAGGGTGGGTGAGCTTCCACTACTGTCAGATCTATATATGTTCATTGTCTGTCCGCATTCTGAGGTGAGGTCAATGCATTCGAAACGAATTACGCACTCAAAATAATGCTAGTAAACTACTGAGGGCAGATAACTGAAAATTCATGAAGATTCTGCATTTGGTGCAACTTTATGGCAACCTTCTCCTGATTTTCACCAGTGGATGCTAACGACAAGCTCAAAAATTACAAAAAGAGGCAGAATTATGCTGTTGTCTGAGCTGACATACTTCGAAATCATTACGTACTGTCCAAAGGAGCTTGTTGCCAGTAAGCTCGTGCGAACCACCCTATTTCCTAGTTATCATTTCCTTCCTCTCTTATGGGCAACTCCCTACTTTCACCTGCGGTAATACCAGTGCGGTGGTCAAACTCAAAATCTGACAATGCGCCAAAATCGGGATAGCGTCCAACCAGTGTAGCCGTGTGGAAGCAGGTGCCCCCCCCCCAAGAGCGGGTGGGCGATATGAGACGTAGTATGGTACACTCTATTTAACCTGACGCCTAACCGCTACAGTATGCGCTGCGACTCGTCCTTTGCCGCGTCTGCGTCTCTTCCTTCGCCGCGCGACGGGCCTCTTGGGGACACCTATATAGAAGCTTGCCCTTGTGCTATGTTTATTTGAACGTGCGCGCGCGGGAAATTTTTTTCAAAGAGGCGAGCATCTCGGTGAATACTTCCAATCGGACACATATGACCATTAATAGCAAAGGAAAAGCAAGCCGCTTCCGATGTATAAATGACCAACTGAAAGCTGGGAAGGGCGCTGGGACTCCCAGCGCCCTTCCCAGCTTTCAGTTGGTCATTTCCCTGGTCCTGGTTGCTAACAAGGGCTATTGTAAAGTTTTTTTGTACAGTTATTTGTGAGGCGATGGCAGTTCAAAAAAGTTGTATGTATGGCTAGCAAAGAAGTAATGCGAATAGTAATATAGCACCCCCACTCAAAATAAGATCAAATTGTCAAATGGGCAAAAGCGTTCCATTAGATGGAGAAGGAACGTTCAAAATCTGAATAGTTTTCAAGGGTCCATGTATCCTTTTGTGAAAGTCTTCTGTAGCTTCTTTTACCAATCACATAGAGCAAGTTGTCATCAAAATGTGTTATGTTAGCACTTAATTGCTCCAATGCTGAGACCGAATAATGTACTCGTGATCAGGGCACGAATTATCTCAACTATGAATTTATGTTCAAGTTTGATGAAAAAATTTCGATGGGTGAATTCACAGCGAACTTTTTTGGGTATTGTCAAATAATTGTACAGAGCGAGTTCTATGCCCAACTTTATTGTTATCTGTTATCGTGGTTTCAGGTGTGCGGGATGTTGCTTCGACGGACGATGTTGCAGCACATGTACGGCAACGCCACCCCGAA